ACTTACATAATGTTGTGTCTTAAGTTCAACAAGAAACAAGTATCAAAGTAGTAACGGTATTATCTGGACATATGTGTTCACTTAGTAGGCAAGGGGTTAATGACATACAGACACAATTACAATTTGTTACCTAATCTACAAAGGTACTTTCAATAAAAGGCAAGTTTTTTTTTCAAATACTTTTGTTTCCTTTTAACTTTTAGAAAAGAAAAATGACTTTGCTTTAAAATACATAGTTTTCGATCCAATACGAATTTCTCATGAAAGGAACATTTATTATTTTATATTTGTTAAGAATTCACATTTTTTTAAAAGTTTTATTTTCTACTTACAACTTCTTCAATACAGTCAAGTTCTTGAAGATGTCTTCTGTAATTGTGCTCAAGGAACAACTTGAAAGATCTCTGGGTAAACATAAACCGTTAGTAGAAATGGAAATGACAATAAATTGGAACTCTAGAGGAAATAAAGTGCGAAGGGAATATCAGAATGATTAGTGTACAAGTTCAAATAAAAAAAACCTTCTTAGAACGAATGCGTGACGCATCATGTTCTGTTACGCATTTGAATTATTCATCGTAAACGTTCAAGTATATATATTTCGCATAATACATCTGGAAGATTTTCCCTAGTTGTTACCATTTACTAGATTACGTTTGTAATCCAAACCAATAGTGAACTGACCGACTCATCCTTCTGGCTGGTGGCCATAAGTTTCTACACTTCCTTTTTTTGCAAAGTACAAATTTCCATTTCGCAAATTACAGATTTCCTTTTTGAAAATAACAGATTTTGAGTTGATTTCACAAATGACAGATTTCCATTTCGTTAGCCGGTTTCGTTTCGCATACTAAAGTAGGCAAAGGCTGCATGCCGATCGAGAGCTCTGGATTGTTAAAGAAATTGTCCACAAACTATTAGCTAAGAAACGTATGTAAACACAAAGAAGACGATAACTGGCCTTAACTGCAGGACTAAGGATGGCAGAGTTTCTTTATCACTTACAGTTCTATTGTGTTGCTTGGGATTCCGGTCGATATGTATCCGTGAACTCGGCATTTTACTATAAGCCGAGTCTTACCGAAATTGGTGCATTGACAGATGTTTTCGCTGCAAACGTCACTCTCGGATGTTGCTACAAACCACAAGACCAAGATGACTTGTATCAGACCA